GCCCAGTTTCCTGTTCATAAAGATATCAGTATGTCTAGATGCCTATTTCACCAACCTTTACTGAGTTCATCTGAAATAATCCTATGTGCAAATAAGATCGAATTTGAAGGTACTAAGGAGATACCATAAAGTCCATAACAATAGACTATAATTAAAGGTAATATAACTTAAGAACAATAAACTAACTTTATAGAAAAACAAATATGTCTTTAAATTATTCTTTTTCTCTTATTAAAGACATTGTTAGACTTGTTAATATAATTTGAATATAACTAGTGCCCAGCTGGATGTGGCAGTACACACCTGTAATTCCAGCATTTAGGAAACTAAGACAGGAGGGTGTTAAGTTTAAGGTCAGCCTGAGATCCATGGTGGTGAAAGCCTGTCTCAAAATAAGGAGAGTGGTACTGTCTGTACCTCACTTTTTATCTTTGATGATACGTATCTGTCTGTCTGTCTACCTATCTATCTTCTAGCTACCTACCTATGTAATATATATGTGCTTTATTACTTAAAAACAAATTTATTAAAAATGTAATTTTTATTAGCTTAAACTTTTAAATGTAAACTCATCTACGGAAATGGAGCAGTCTTCACGGAACAAGCCAGGAAGGATTGGGTAATTTAAGAACAGCGGATGTCAGAGCTCTAAGCGATGTGGGATTTGCTGCTGTGGAGTATGTCACTGTGAAGTATGTTGTGTCATTGGGAGAATTACATTTTCAAGGATCTCTCACCAGAGAGGCTGACTGTTTTTGCTTATGTAACCCAAGCGGTCACCCACACAGGTACAGCCTAGGTTTGGGGAACAGGTTGCCCTCACTAATGGCCAGCATCCTACTGCGCTCGTTTCTAGCATTTGGGTTTGTAGTATAGTTGAAGGGGAGAAACTTGAGGTTTCCTCTTCATCTCCTCAGAGATTTGGTCTGGAGGTAATCCTGCTTCCCTTCTCCTCTCAGCATGAAGTGCCCGCTTGCTAAACCCACATGCTGGACCTTATTCAGCAATTTGTCTTTCAGATAAAAAGTCCTTGCCAGAGTTGTTGAGAATATAGCATTCTTCCTACAGCCCCCCATGCTCTGTGAAGAGACTTAGATGGGAAGAGACCAAAGTCATTTCTTCGCCAGCATTGTGACACAGGCAAATGCTCAGTCCCACCTCTGGGTTGTCATTTTACTTCCAGTTTGTGTGAATGTCACCAGCTCTGGGAACACCTTACAGAGCGACAGGATTGGAATATTGTGCTCTGTTAGCAGGAGGGGAGATCTTAGCTAGTGAGATAAACATTCATTCTGCTCTTCTGCTCTTTTTTCTTAAACTAGAAACCCCCCAAATAATTAGACGCTGTAGGGCAGGCCTCACTTTTCTGGGAATGTTAGCAATTCTACTTCCCCACCCCGTGCTCCTGGGGAGCATTTTCTAGATTCCCTTCATTCTGAAGTGATTACATATCCCACTAAAGTGACTTAATTGAAGAGAAGCGGCATCTGTGATATGAAATAAATCATGTTACTTCAGAAGTCTGTGTGTTCCCATAAGGGGAACTCCAAAGGAAAGGTGACCTTATGGCCTTTCTTCCCCCTAGCCAGCCTGTTGCTCCACAGCCTTGGAGTACAGGTCCAAGCCTGGGTTTTGTTTTGTTTTCTCATTTATGTTTTTTTTCCTACTTAGGAATAATTTCTAGTTGAGTAAACTTGTGCTGCAAACAAAGGGTGGCATTTATGCTGTGATCTCTAGTTCTACATGCTTTTAGACTTTGACA